TGCGCGCATGCGCTCATTAGCACACATACAAAACAAAAAACATACGAAGAAATATTGTGAAAATTAAAAATACCGACAACACTGCAAGGCCACTGTATTATACATTTGTGTAACTAAAATAGCAATGGTACAATTATGAAAATTATAAAATACAATAAACACTTACCGTATGTCTTATATACACATATACTATCTAAATGCTATCTAAGTCACACATCTTTTTTAGAATTGATATATCAAGAATATTTCATTAATAGTTAATTATAAAGTAAATGTCAAAATGCGTTACATGAACTAAGATGTTGTATTACTTGTAACAAATTTATATATTACATTTGGAAGTACACACTATGTTTATAAATATTAAGAGACTATTCAAACACTAGTATAACATATAGTCATACAATATTCAAAGATAGAGTAATTAATTAATAATAAACCGAAATTCTTAGCTAATTACGTATAAAGTACTTCAAAGCATTTCAGTTCGTTTTTACCATGTGTCTCTTCAAATATAAAAGTTGTGTCTTCGATTCCAAAGAAGACAATTCGAACACATATGGTGCCATTTGCTGTACATGATTTTGGTAATTAGAACCTAGAAAAATTATAAATATTACGATACAATTTGCATTACAACACAAATACAAAATTTACATACCCATGGTCGCTCTCTTCTCTCCATATATAACTTTTCCATCGAAGTCATTTACTGGAATTTTCATATCTGCATCGACTTGTTGAATTGTGATATTCAAATGATCCTCAATTTCGGCCAAGTACTGGAAAAAATAACATTAGTAATTGAACATCAAAAAGAAAAAAAATAAACACATCACATTATGTTAAAGCTTACATTTGGTTCGTTGTACCAAACGCAGCAACCACTTTTATCAGTAAGATTAGTATTAGAACAATTTCTTCCACGAGAAGAACACCATTCACCGTGATACCATACTTTTTCAGGAACTTTACTAACTAATGAAATTGCTAATCCCATTCGTTCAGCTCTACCGACTCTACCTATGCGATGTACATAATTCGACTTCTCATCAGGTAGAGTTATATTAATCACTAGAAAAAAGATTATATGGAAGATAAAATCATAATTACATAAATTATTAAATATTAGTAATGATTACATACTAAAAGGTAATCCTGAAATATCTAAACCTCTAGCTGCAACATCGGTGCAAATCAAGAATTTTGCTTCTTGTTTTTTGAACTTTTCTAAATTAGATTTGCGCTCTGCGGGTTTTCGATCACCATGTAGACATACACATGAAAACTGATTTCCACCATATTGTTTCAAATATCGTTCCAAATTATCACAATCTAATTTAGTTCTACAGAAAATTATGGCTCTATCCATGTTGTGTTCTCTAATGGCACGAATACAGTATTCGCCTTTTAATATCTTCACAGCCTCTGAGAGTGTCTCTGTATAGCATATTATAGTCATATAACTGATAATAACAAATTTATAGATTATTGAATTTGAAATATACCAGGATTGTTATTTCCAGGTCTTACATTATCCCTACTATGAACACCATCAGTTTCTATATATTTTCTTAAATTATGCCAAGATTTATCTTTCTGTGGATCTACTATTACAACAACATGGTGTACAGTCTCAGGAACTGCATCTTCACCTTTCAAATCTACCCATGTTGGAAAATGCATCAAACGTTCCTGTGCAAAATAAACATTTATTTATTACACATTTATTTTTACAAAATATTGTATAATACAAATTGCAGTTTTAAATATTTACCGCCATTTTCTTAACTTCAAATGCATGCAGTGTGGCAGAACAAACAATCATCTGTAATCTTTTCCCATCTGATGTAATTTTTGGTATTTGCCTATGCAAACGATCGATTAATTCCGTGTAGCCTTGTTTTAATAGACCATCAGCTTCATCCAAAATAAAAAACCTAACAATAATTATACTATAATAACCATTATCTTGATAAATATAGTAGAAGTGTTGCGAAATACCTGCAATTTGTTAAGGACAAGTAGCCACCTTGTATTAAATCTTCTAAACGGCCTGGTGTTCCAACTACTATATCCACACCAGAATTTAATGTAGCAATTTGTTCTTTTACACTAACTCCACCAATAACTAATAATTCTCTAATGGCTGGATCTTTCAAGTATTTTTTAAACTATACAGAGATATGATTTCACATGATAAATATTTTAAATAATAAAGTAAAAATAAATGTTGTGTTGGTATCTTACTTTTTGAATTTGATTATAGGTTTGTTCAGCAAGTTCTCTCGAAGGTTCTATTATTATAGCTTGGGGAGCATTACATTTAGGTTTACCATCTTCCTTATTTTGAGCTTGGCTACTGTTTGTAGGATTCTCCTTTATGACTTCTTTAGGAGCTGAAGTAACAGCTATATAATCATTTGGAGGGGGATATTTAAATGGTTGTGCTCCAAAATTAAACGACATTTCTGCATTTTTTAATACTACAGCTGGATAGAAAATATATGATTTTTGTTGTGCATTTAGAGTAAATGCTGAACCCAGATTTGCGCCATTCAATGTAAAATTAATTTCACCCTTTGATAAATTTAAAAGACATCCAATTACATCGTGCATTCCAAAAGCCTTTCCATAATTATCAAATTGTTTCGCATTTGATTTTTTACCAGTACCACCATATCCAAAACCAAACTTATCTGTTCCTAAATCCAATGAAGCCTATATCACAAATATGGTAATAGTTGTAATGCTTTGATAATACTATTTTTAAAAAACCATCAAAAAACTAAAAATTACTTGAGATGTGGACCAGCCTACACGACATAATCCTTCATCAGTTACTGTAACTTCAAAGAAGTATTTTTCTTTTCCTTGAATTCCTTTATTTGCTCTACAACCATGCCATTCTTTTTGTTCACGACTTTGACATCTTAAGCCGTCTGGAGTTACAGCTAATGCTGTATCTCTATCAAATAAACTTAATGACCAATGTGCAGCTATAAATAATTATAACAATAATGAATATAAGAAGATAAAACATCTTACGACAATTATGAAAAGATAACATACAATGTTGATGATGTCCACTAGACATATTGCTTGTTTTACCAGATTCTAAATCCTTCAAAGTTTCCCATACAATTTGCAAAACTGGTAGACAAAAGGCACCAGTTTTTCCACTGCCAGTTTCTGCAGCCATTAATACATCTCCACCACCCAAAATTAGTGGAACTGCTTCAGCTTGGACATCAGTTGGCAGTCTATGTAAAAATACTTGATATTATTTAATATTTCTTGTTATGCATGAAATAGAATTTTATTTTACTTACGTCCATTCTATTTCATCAACTGCTTTCGCGATTTCTGGCAAAACACCCATTTCTAAAACAAAGTGTTATTAATGTACTGTTATCGACTGTATCTTTGATTATAATTTTTTTCCACCAAACACAAAAATACCAAAAATGTGTTTAATTAATATTTACCTTCGAATGCCGTCATTATTATAACTTCGGTTCGTGTTTTTCTGAATTAAATTTGAAAATGCAAAATTAAGTAACGTCAACTAATATTGTTAGACGACATGAAACATTTGAAGTACCCGAGGAGTGTCATCTATAGATTTACATTTCATGAGTAAATCACGAAACGTGTGAAATATAGTAAGAAACATACATCATTATAAACGATCCATTCTTATATCTTTTTTTGACTTAGAAAATATTTTAGAGTATCTAGATATTAACATTAAATAAATATTTCAACAATTGTTTATAGATCATTTATTAAAGTGTTACATAGAGAAAATATAAATTATTTTTTATCATTTCTAAACTAGCCCTAAGGTCGTATAAGTTTTATGCAGAACGCAGAATTAAGAGATTGAGTATGTATGGATTTGTTATGAGTTATGAGTTAAAGTATAAAATGAAAGATTTGTTACTTTATTCAAGTTTATTATAAATAATTCCTCCATATATGCCTGGGAGGAGTATAAATATCACTGCAGAAATGATGTTAAATACTGTTTACTATTTACTTCAGAGATAGCATTGTAGAAATGACTCCAAAATGGAAAGTATGTACATCTTGTATAGGTTATACAATTATTTTGATTTCACAAAAATCTGAATTAATGTATATATATATTATTATTGTTAATGACAGACCACTAGTTCAGAATCCACTTCAACAACAAGTTCTGGTTCTTCATCCAGTAGTTCTTCAAGTTCAGGCAGTGAATCTAGCTCATCTGATTCAGAAAATTCTAGTAGTTCTGCTAATAGCCAAAAAGCATCTGATACAGAAAGAACAAAGAAGAAGACAACTTTCCCTCCTAATAGACATGGCAAGTCTAAAACTGATACGGTTGTTACTACATCTGTAGAAAATAAAAGCAAAGAGAGGATACCACCAAAGAATAGATCTGTAGTATATTCTTCAGAATCAGAAGAGTCACCAAGCAAAGTAAAAGCAACAACAAAAAGAAAACCACCAGCCAAACCAAAAGCAACTGCTACAGTAGCACCTGTTGTTAAACAACAGAGGCTACCTGCTAAAGCAATAGTTGTTACTAGCCAACAAAAAAATATTATAAATTCTAAATCAGTTGCTAACAAACCAAACAAGTCTTGTAGTAAGAATATATTTGTTTAAAATAATATTTATGATGTAACATTTAGTTTCATTTAATAACTAACAGTATATTTTATTAATAGCTTCCACGAGTGCTAATGGAAAAGTTTCTGATAAACCTGCAAAAACAACTTCAGAGCCTGTGCAAAAGAAGCTGAAGAAGAAAAGTATATTCAGCCCAGAAAACAGTAGCGATAGTGACAATGGTGTTCCAACAAAAGCTAATTCAGCTAAACCTATAAATAATTCTACAAAATACCCAAAAAGTCAGCAATCTAAACCAAAACCAAGTGATACAAGGCAGAAAACTATTGCTCCAAATAGACCTAGTATGTAAATGTGACATCATTTTTCAATTTACAATGTTATTAATAATTTTTTTCAGTTTACAATGTTATTAATAATTTTCAATTCATTATTTTATTGTATTAGGTTTATTGACTAAAGCTGCACAGTCACAAAAGTCAGACAGTTCTGCAAGTTCAAAGAGCTGTTCTGCAGGATCAGGTTCTTCAGCTTCCACAGATAGCAGCACTGATTCTGAATCGTCAGAGAGTGTCGCAAGTCCACAACCACAAGTCAAGAAAAAAGATACTCAGTCAAGCACAGCAGTTAGCACCGCCATTAATGTTCCACCAAAGCGACCATCTGCAACGGTTGCACCTGTAAAACCACAAAAGTGTACAAAACGACAAGGTTTATAATTAGTTATATAAAGTTTGTGTTATTAATTATAATCATTTTTATAAATAAAAAGATATGTTTCATTTGATTATCAGGTACTATAAAAAGTGAAGATGAAGCCGATGCATCCGCAAGTGAAAAGGAAGTGGATGAGCATGGAGAAACAGGTACGACGAAAGCAACGACTAAAGGCAAACGAAAATTGCAGACTCGGAAAGGTAGCAAATTACTTCAACTTCAAACAAAAGCGGTCAGCGACTCGGAATCTGATACAGGTACGAATATATTATAACAATAAGCTATCGAATGCGATATTTCATTACTAACCTTACATCTTCTCCCTGTCTCTCTATGCATTGTTTCCACGTAAAGAATTTGTACTTTTTAAATACTATCTAACATGTTTTACTTGATACAAGTGTGGTTAGTTGCATATCCTTAGTGCATATCAGTTTTAATTTATTTTTTCTTGTCTTGTCGACGTTGCTTTAGAAATTAGACTAATCAATTGTCTTTGTATTTTTTCCTTCTGTACGTTCAATATCTATTATCGATCTTTTATAGCAATCTCGTTGCGAATTTCAATGCATACAGGTACACTCTTACCATAGTACCACCGTTCTTTCGTAGTAAATGTCTCTAGATACATTTCGTTTAATTGATTGGATAAGATCAGAATTCTTAGCATGAATTTTTGAAAAGAGGCGGGTAGAGAATATTCTGCAGGCGGTGGATTTAGGACTCTATGCTGCCTCCTTAACACAAAAAAGCAGTATTTGCGGTTCTGGATGGATGGATTGGACATATATATGGCTCGTAGGGATCTAGTGGTCGATGGGACAAACTTTTCGTATACAAAAAAGCATGTCCAAGGTGTCCTAAGATGCAGATACAGTCTTTTTGCTTACGGCGGCAGTATGGTTCTCAGGTACGGAAACGGTAGCGTGTAAACGTATCCTGCAAATTCCCCTGATCCGGTGTGATTTATCGAGAGTAGCTGAGAGCAAGAGGAGTACCAGCAAATCGCCTGTTAAACGTGCCGGGCCTAGTACCGCTGCCAGACACTCATCCGGGTCCAACAGAATACCACAAAACAGTAGTACATCAAACGCTACTAGTGGAAGATCAGGACAAGGCAATTACGGTCGTACACGCGTAAATAAGGAGAGAGAATGTCCCCTAGCACCAACATGTGACTCTCGGGGTCATCTCTCTGGAAAACTCGATTCGCATTTCACTTTAGAAGCTTGTCCTTTGTATCATAATACTACGCCACAAGCTTGCGCGTAAGTGACATTTTTTTGACATTGCAATATACATACTGGACATGTTCTGTCGACGCGATAGAAAAAAAATATATTCTTTGCCATTCTTTTCAGGGAATTTTATAAAGAAAGAAAAAAGCGCGAGGAAGATCGAAAAAAGGCTATAGCATGTTTAGCGAAAAAATCTCCAAAAGGTTTGCATCAAACAACAGAACAACGCAATTATCAGCTGAAAGTGCGGGAAATGAGAAATAAATGGAAGGGGAACACTGGCGATGGAAACGAAAGTGATAGCAGTTGTGAACTACAAGGAAACGAGAAAGATCGTCAACCGCGTTTAACGAATTTAACGCCAGATTATGATTTGAAATTGTTTATGGAAGCGCAAGCGATCGCTAGTGAAAAAATTGTATGTAGAAAAGTAGTAGCTACTCCGTGCTACGTTGTATCACACGAATTATACAATATTTCTTTCTTACAGGAAAAAGAGCTGAAAGAATTAGATTATGACGGCGAGGGCAGAAATGGTGGCGGCACGCGAGTCATTGAAATGGGAAAATGGGAAATGGAAGTGTGGTACCAAAGTCCATATCCAGAAGAGTTTAGTCGAGCCCCAAAACTTTATTTATGCGAATACTGTCTGCGGTATGCAAAAAGTCGACAAGTTTTAAGGAGACATCGAGAAAAATGTCTATGGAGACATCCGCCCGGTCATGAAGTGTACAGGTAAATGTGTAATTAATGTATATTTTGTATTAATTTCCTTGTTTCTTTTTTGTTTATACATTCTTGGTTTTTTTCTTTTTTTTTTACCCACAGAAAGGACAAGATAGGCGTGTGGGAAGTAGATGGGAAACGTTATAAGCAATACTGTCAAAATCTTTGCTTGTTAGCCAAGTTCTTTTTGGATCATAAAACATTGTACTATGACGTCGAACCTTTTCTTTTCTACGTGATGACCATTGGCGATTCTGAAGGTTGTCACACAGTTGGATACTTCAGCAAGGTAAGTTTATTTTACATACTTAAACAAAAACAAGACGTTCCGTTTTTCAACGTACATTTTTTCACCGTTAACATTCACAAATAGATAAATAATATTTTTCTATTAACGTTCACGCAATACGCATGAAATTATAAAGTAAGTTGTACAAAGTAACGATGTATACGTCTCTTTGTGAAACATCGGATGAATATTTTCGTAAACGATTTCTCAGATTAAAGTATTTTCGTATATATGAACTGCGTGAACGGAGAATTATTAGATTCGAGAACGAGGAAAGGCTGTAAAATAGCAAAAGCGAACAATACCAATGAATCGTGCATTTGTTGATTTTGTTCGTCGCTGTTAAGAAATAAAATCAAGCAATACATAAAAGAAAAGTACTTGGAGCATTTCTTATTGGCACGGATCTCGTAGCGACGAGTTACCAATGGCGATATTAATGCGGCACACGTGCTTGTACGTGCGCGATTGTGCATGAACGATGATGCCTGTTGTATGTTACCACTTGCGTGTACAGGGCTCAGGTTTACGTGGTAGACGTCTTGATCATGGATGATATTAAAATCGTTTAGCCTATTAAAAAGAGACGTTTCGTCTCGCCTTTGTACTCTTCTCTCATTAGTGATACATGAAAATATATATGTAACATACTTCGATTGCTTCTTTCTTACGCATTACTATCTTTCGTCGCGCATCGATTTTTTTAAAAGAAAAGAGGAAGGAAATTTTTTACAAACTGAAAAAAAAGAAAAAATAGATATCATCCATAGTTAAAGAGATATAATTTAAAATTCGCAATGTCAAAGCGAATAATATGTCGGCGATGATCGGAAAAATTTATATTCAAACGAGAAGATTATTTTTATTTTTATTTTGTGGTTTACTATGCTCGTAATGGCATTCACGTAGCCTGTAGGGATTACATGAACAAGGGTATGTATCGCAAAGAGGGTGTCTCGTACCCGTGACCCCTCTTTATCCGAGCACTCCTGGTCTGGTTGGCCAGGATGTCGGTGGGAGAACGCGGAACGCTACGCACGCCTATTTACTGCAGAACAGCATCGTCGGAGTCGAAATCTTTACCGACGTTCAATGACCTCTGACCCTGGCAAGATGCGCCAATTTATATCCTCCCGCCTCCTTTCATCAACGGAAGATAGGTGACGAAAATTTCCTTCAGCCACATGCAAAACGTTTTCCGCCTCTCCGAAACTGTTGTCTTTCTCTATCAGAGAATACTCCTTAATCCTTTTCTGGTATTTGTCGGATTTTCTATTTCGACTTTTCTCGGATTTCCCTTCTTTTACGTTACTTGACATTATTCCAAAAATATTCGAAGCACATTGATTTCCTAGGCTTTAGGTCCTTGAAATTTCAGAAATATACGAAGCATTCATCGTTCCTCCAAACGTTATACCTCCGGACGGTGTTGCGACAATCGGATAACTCGATAATTTCGATATCGATCGTTCCGCTCGAATTACAACAAAAGAGCCGGGGACGTGTTCTTAGAGGGCAACAGATTGCGTTACACACCTTACAAAAGGGCGTACTCCGCGGCTCTCCGCTTCCTGTATCTGCAACGGCGATGGCGGCGGCGACGCCGGCACAGCAGCACCACTAGCAGTAGCAGCAGCAGCACCAGCACCAGCAGCACCAGCACCAGTACCAGCAGCACCAGTAACGCAGAGTCAAAATCTTTATAGACGTTCAATGACCCCGACCCTGGCCAGACGGTCGTAGAGCGATGGTGGTGGTGGTGGTGGCGGCGACGTACAGAGAGAGGGATAACGGGGGGTGGGTGACTCTGGCGTACGTACACTATGCGCTTACGACGTGCAGTACCAGGTGGGTGGTTTAGACGAGTAGGGGATGCCGAGGGCGGTGGTGGTAGCTGCTGCAAGGGGGATGATGGTTGCAGAGGGCGATGGAGAAGGGATGGTAGGGCGGTAAGGGGAGAGAGGGCGTCGCCTGGCATCGGGTCGTCAACCTTTCTGCGGCACTGCGACGTCGGGGTCGTTATTATTTCCTCCTCCTCCTTCTCTACCACCACCTCCTCCTGCTCCTCCTCCTCCTCCTTCATCACCTCCTCCTTCTCCCGTTGCTGCTACTTCTCTCTTACGTCTTTCTGCATGCTCTCTCTGCATCGTCTTTCTGCATCATCGTCGTTTCTTCTCTCGCGATCTTTTTCCACTCTTCCCTTGATCACTCTTCTCTTTCCTTCGCAATATCCGAAACCTTTGATTTGAATTTTCAATGTCCTCTGGAAATTTCCTCCCACGTCGGGCCTCTGTTTCGTCGCAGCTTCGCTATTCGCTATTCGTCGTCGTTGTTGTCGGTTTTGTCAACATCTTCCTGCCATTTAACGAAAATTTTCAAATTTACGGATTACGATATTCACCAGGTTGTAAGTTTTCCCCTGTCTTTCTGATCTTTCTTGACTTCGAACAATCGGCGAGATCAAAATGGGTAGCTAATTTTTCGTCGGGCGATCCGTTGAAAAAGAAGAGGAAAAAAAGTAAAAGAGAGTCTCTCGTTCGCGGAATCGATCGATCGAAGTGTCCCGGCATTGCCGCTAGGATATTTCTTCTTCGCATTTTGCGATTCTCCCCTTGGTTGACCTCGAATAATCCGGACGTTGGCCTTGAGACTGCAGGCCATTGACCCGGGCTAGACAACCGTTGACCTTGAGTAATCCGGACATTGACCCGGCGCATTGAGCCCGCTAACTCGGGGAGATCTAGACGTTGACCTTGGGCGATACTAGCCGCGACCTTGAATGATTCGCCCCACAGGCGGCGTGGTGATGTGCACACAGTGAACACGTTGTGCGGCGAGGAACCCAGTGGAAGTTTTCGTTCGAACGCGAGGGGAGCAACACGAGCGAGCAAAACCGTAGAAGCGAGCGAGCAACGTTACATCCACTGAATTTATAAATTTCGTTATTAACCACACCGTCCACGCCTCCCTTTGGTACGTTAACGCGCAACACTCGGCCATGCTCATCCTGCGTGTGACGTAGAATTTTTATCAATTCCGAGGCAGCCGAGCAGAAATTAAAAAGGGGGTCGAATCGAGGCGTGAACATTTACAGCTTCCGGCCGTGATTACTGAGACATGAAAAGAAACTTCTCCGGTGAATTTCGAGGAAACCCCACCACTTTCTCGTTCATCGGCTTTACGCTTACGTTGTTCCAATCTCTATTTTCCCTGCTCGCCATTTTAAGGGACGCACTCGAATTCTCAAAATAAGTTAAAAAACGGACGAATTGCAAAACGATAAGGAATGAAATAGAAAGAAACGAGTAGCTTGGTTTCACGGTGTTTTTTTTTTTTTT